TGACTGAAACATTTCTCACAATCCAGGCACTGATATGGTTTTTCTCCGGTGTGAGTCCTCTGGTGTATCACCAGGCGTGAATTCCGAATGAAACTTTTCCCACAAACAGGACATTTATATGGTCTCTCTCCTGTGTGTGTCATCTGGTGTTCCACCAGGTTGGAATTTTGACTGAAACTTTTTCCACAAACAGGACATTCAAAGAGTTTCTCTCCTGTGTGAATCCTCTGGTGTCTCACCAGGCAGGAACTCTGACTGAAATTTTTCCCACAATCTAGGCACTGATATGGTTTTTCTCCTGTGTGAGTTCTCTGGTGTCTCACAAGCTTAGAACTCTGCTTGAAACCTTTTCCACAATCACTACATTTATACAGTTTCTCTCCTGTGTGAGTCATCTGGTGTTCTAACAGCTGAGAATTCTGCCTGAAAGTTTCCCCACAAACAGGACATTCAAAGGCAGGGCTTCTCTCCTGTACAGGCTCTTCCATGAATCATAAGGAAGCTTTTCCGAGAAAAGCTTTTGCCGCACTTCAAACATTTGTATGGATTTTCATTGGATGGATCCTGTTGTGCATGATCAGATGTGATCTGCAATCTGTATTTTCCCACATTAGGCACTCTGCGGGGGTTTTCCAACACTGATATGCTAGGATTCTTAGGGCGGCAAAAAATATTTATGATCTCTTGCCTGGTGATTATTTAGTTCAAGCCATTCTTTCCTTCCTCAAAGGCTTTAATTAATGTCTGCTAATTTTGGCTGTATGTGGAAACTTTTTCTTCGTACTGACTTCAAATTGTTCTTCACTTTTTCTTTATTTAAATATTATCCTCCTTGATTTCTCATTTATTGTTTTTCTTCAGTTCCATGTGCTCTATTTTTTCCAGCTCAAAACTTTGTTCTGGTTATTCTTTCCCTGGTCTCTCATCTGCTGAGGAAGAATAGTTTTTAATCTTTCCAGAGGAATTGGAAAATATTTTTTAGAAATGGCTTATTTTGCACTATAATGTGCTCCTCATTCTCTGTTGTCCAGAGACCTCTTCCTGGCATATTCTCTCTCTGTAAGAGTAATATAAATGGGTTAGTTTCATTATTGTTGAAAAATGGCTGCAGAAAATGTGAAAGCAGCAAAACAAAAACCCTCCACCCCATCCCATATATTAGCATGAAAAAACAAACATTAAAATTCTATTTGAAGCTCTAATTATGATTGATTTGGCATACAGAAGATTGCCAATATCCAATTTCAAATACTGACTCAATCATAAAATTGAGTCAATCAGAATGAAGTTGAAAGGGCCTTTGGAGATCTTCTAGTCCAGCTCCCTCCTCAAGCAGAGGTGTGCTATTATACTTAAATTTTTGGCTTGGGGAAATACACTTATATGCACGCATATGAGCACAGAAACACACACCTATGAATGCATGCAGACAATCTACGCGTA